TTTTTTTTTTTTTTTTTTTTTTTTTTTTTTTTTTTTTTTTTTTTTTTCTTTCCGTGTTGATTTTGAACCGGAGCCGGGGAAAATGGGAAACGGTGCTTCCGACAGAAGGGGAATCTCTCCATCACTGGTGTCGGGACGTGTGCCTGTGGTGCTAGAGGTTTAGAGAAATAGCCTGCCAGCTTTCGGAGTGGAAGGTAAGGGTGCCCGGGGCATTTCCATCTCCCATTCCCGGGGATTACGAGCGGAGAGCTTTTAGTTTGGGATTCCGGGGAGGAGGCGGCGGAGGAGGGGGACAGGCTGTTGCTGAAGGATAGAGAGAGGCAGCGCATCCAGCATGAGCCCGGCGTTCGGCTCAGCGCTGCAGCTGAAAAGTTAGCGAAGTCCGTTTGGCGACAGCTTTGCTTCCCGGAGAGCCATTTCCAGCGAGACCGAGAGAACCTGAGGTTTGTGCGCGATGGGGGCAATTTTATGGGGGGGATAGCAGGGGGTGGGGGGGAGATGTTAGGTTAATAGGAAGTTAAAATAAGAGAAGTCAGTGGGTCTTCTGCTGAGGAAAAAAAAAAATAAGTGGAGTGATGGCGCCGTCTATGTTCGGCTGAACTACGGTGTCACATAGAAAATCAGTTCAGGGAATATCCGTCCAAACTCAGCGCCCGTTCGCTTTTCAGCAGAGAGGGTTCCCCCTTTCTCGGCCGGGCAGCCCTGAGCTCTGCGGCCTCCCTTGAGCTTCAGCCGTCATGGGGAAGGGAGACCTTTCTAAATCGGGGTGCCTAGTCCTTGCAGCGAGCAGCTTGGCTCTCGCATTCAGCACTACTGCGAACTGCTGCCGGCACGCTCCGCTCGGGTGTGTGTGTAACGCACTGGGGGAATGGGGGGGATTCAGGCGATGCTGTTTCAGGGGCTCTGCACGAACAAACGCATAACTAAAATGAGGGCTATTCGATTATGATTCCTCATAGAAAACAGCCGAGCACTGCAGACGTCTCTATTTTTTCTAATACAAATACCACAGAGGATGAGAAAAGTCAGAGGCTTTTTCCTTTTCATATTAAAAAGCAAGCAAGCCCCCTTTTTGCTTTCCAGATTATAAAATTAATCCTTTTTCATGGGTGGAACTCCTAATTTAGACACTTATTGTCACATCAGCCTTCAACGCCTACACCATCCTGAATAACACTGCGCAGAACTGCATTGCCTGCAAAGTGCTTCAGCAAAGGGGAAATTGTTTCCAGAATTCCCTGTAAGTTTCTATTTTTTAAACCTCAAAAGCTGCACCAACCTTGTTTGGAGGAGGAGGACAGCGTTATTCACTGAGATGGATGCTCAGAATGAGAAAATCTGATCCTGTGGATAGAGCTGGCAGCAGCTCTGCTTTTCTTTTCTTTCTTTTTTTTTTTTTTTTTTTTTAAACCACAGCTATAAAGAGGGTCAGAGTTGGTGCTGCTTTGCCCACTTCAAGATTCTGAGTTTGAATTGCAATCTAGGAGATAGGAAAATCTCTTCAAGGGAGCTTAATCTGGTGATTTGCTGTGTGTTACGCAATGGGAGGCAGAAGATGCCTTGCTGTGTGGCGAGGAGATGAAATGTGAGGCACAGGCACACAGCACAACTCTGTGACCGTGTCTGTGTGTCTGTCTGTCTCTGTTCACAGAGCAGAAGGAGCTGCAGGCTAGAGTTGGGGATTGGCACCACTTCTGCTGCTCACCTTTGAAAGCAGATGAAAAGCTCCTTGTTTGTAAGGGATAAGCAACTTCTCAAAGGTTAATGCTGAAAACGTTCAGTCTAATTTGGGGGGGGATAACATTACTCAGGTAAAGATAACTGAGGTTCACTTTATTAACCTAGGCCACTGTTAGGAGAACAGTAGAGGCTTTAGCGCTTGACAGATGGAATAAAACAGCTTTATTTGGTGATGCTAGCAGGGTAAATGTAACATGCCTTTCATTACCAAAGCACACATCTGCAAAACACAGGGGCTCATCAGAGAGTATGAGATATTCAAGATATTCATGATGAGAGGACAGCAAGACGCCCAGCACAGGGCCATATGTGCAGAGGTCCTGTGTAGCACTGTGTAGAGCTAATGTGTGCAGACAGCAATATAGTGATGCATTTTGTATATCCTAAAAGGCTGTTAACACATTCAAATTGCTATCTGGAAATGCTGGCACAGCGTGGTGTCAGACCACCACCACTTTCATCTGTCTGTCTTTGCTGCTTTCTCTGATAGTCCCAACATTTTATTAATACATTTATCTCAATATTTCCTGCCTGGGAGTTCTTTTTATAGAGACCTCTGCGTACCAGGTGGCCACTGTGAATTCATGCAGGCATATGGGAGATAATGTTCCATCTGTAACAAATACTAATTTGTGCGTTTTTAAATTATGGCTGTAATTCCTCATAGTTACTTACCAGACTTAATAGAAAAAAAATATATAACAAGAGATGCTGCAGGTTTTCTTAATCTCCTCTGGTGAAATTCCGCATGTGCAGTCGCATGTGCACATGCATGAACACAGCAGGGCCACTTATTTACTTCTGGAAGAAATAAATAAACAAATTGCCCTGTTCTCAGCCAGTTGGGCGAGGCGTTGAGATTTTACCCAGCTTGAGCAGTTCTGGTCCACGCCATGATGATACCAGCATAGACAGGAGCGGACATTCCTATTAATAAACTAATAGATGCTTTCTTTTTTTTTTTTTTTTTTTTCTTTTTTTTTTTTTTTGTTTTTTTTTTTTTTTTTTTTTTTAAATTTGGCTGTAGAAGATTGGGCTGTGGCGATGCCACGTGATGGCGCTGTTCACACAGCAGCAACGCGATCCCTCGCGTTATAAAATAAAAATTACCTGCCCTTCTTTCTGAAGGGCTCTATCGGCAAGCCCGACAACAGCTGGCTCCAGTATTGGAAGGAGTTTGGTTTTCAATGCGGGAAGAATTCTACTTGCATTTTTATTTCATTTCATCTCCTGCAGGCCAAATGACATAGGATGAAGGCTGTTCGTAATTTGCTGATTTATATATTTTCCACCTATCTACTGGTTATGTTTGGATTTAATGCCGCCCAAGACTTCTGGTGTTCCACGCTGGTGAAGGGGGTCATTTATGGATCATATTCTGTAAGTGAAATGTTTCCTAAAAACTTCACAAACTGCACTTGGACGCTGGAAAATCCAGACCCAACCAAATATAGTATTTACCTGAAATTTTCCAAAAAGGACTTCAGCTGCTCCAACTTTTCCCTCTTGGCTTATCAGTTTGATCATTTTTCCCATGAAAAAATAAAGGATCTTTTAAAAAACAACCACTCCATAATGCAGCTCTGCGATTCCAAGAATGCTTTTGTATTTCTGCAGTATGATAAGAATTTTATTCAAATACGTCGCGTCTATCCCATCGATTTCCTAGGATTACACAAAAAGGAAGAAGACCAAAAATCCTTCTTTGAGTTTTTGGTGTTGAACAAGGTGAGCCCAAGCCAGTTTGGGTGCCATGTGTTATGCACTTGGTTGGAGAGCTGCTTGAAATCTGAGAATGGGAGAACTGAATCCTGTGGGATCATGTATACAAAATGCACCTGCCCTCAGCATTTGGGAGAATGGGGAATAGACGACCAGTCCCTGGTGTTGCTCAATAATGTGGTGCTGCCCCTCAACGAGCAGACGGAGGGCTGCCTGACCCAGGAGTTGCAAACCACTCAGGTCTGCAACCTCACCAGAGAAGCCAAGCGGCCTCCCAAGGAAGGTAGGTGCAACTGTGGGGGGAAGGGGGACGGAGGGGGGGTGACAATCCTATGCCCTGCTCCACGTTTCTCTCTGTGGTGCTCATATTTGTATGACTTGCTCTCCACTCCAAGGGCTGGAGATGATGTGCACTCCCTTAGGGCAGGGAGGGCTGCATTCTTATTTCAGAGCTGGCCAAGCCTTGGGCACATAGTTCTGCTGAGTACTGTTGGAAGTCCTCAAACACAGGTATGCTCAGTTGTCAGCCCTCTCTCACAGCAATGCCAGCAACCACACACCACCTCACTTGCGTACACTTCACTGCAACATCTCGCTGAGACCCTTGACTTTGGAAGAGAAACATTTCCAAAGGCATGCAGGCAAACTCTGTAAAATACCCAGTGATTCACCATGCTAAGTACTCCTAGTGCGAGCTGAGCCAGACTTCAGCAATGAAAAACTAAACCAAAAGCAAACGTTTTTCTCCAGGGCAAGCACTCTGTGATGCGTTGAGGTGCAGCACAAGGCTCGTTGATCTGCCAGGAGCCCTGCAAAGGGGCTGCAGGCTGCTGCAGTGCCCCTTTCCCAAGAGGCCTCAGCTAGAGGAGATGGAGGCTTTGCATCTGAGAGGGGGTGGGTGGATGTGTCAGTCCTGACAGCTGCTTCGTGTCCCCCTTGGAAAAGGTGGAATGGTGGGAAGGCAGGGATCCAGCAGTGAGTGGCAGCTCCTTGCCCTCCCCTCCCCTCACCCCTCCCCCCTTGCTGTGGCTTCCTGATGTTCTGGAGAAGTATGAAGGTGATTTTGGGAGGAACACTGGAGGAACACTGCAGGGAGATCAGAACGTAGGTTGAACCCAGAGAGGGGTGTCTGAACGTAGCCTTTGTACGTGCGGTCCTTCGGAGCAGTCGTACAGGGACGGAGCAGCCAGGGGGTCTCTGCCCCTGCGTCAAGGGATAAATCACCCAGCCCGGAGTGCTGCATTTTAATGCAGGAAGTGTTCCCACTCTCCTTGTTTTCTGCACAGCCACAAAGCTCCCAGTCTGCTGCGA